TTTTCTTGTGGCTTGGAGTCGTCGTCGTCTTTCGCCTCGCCCGGTCACCGATCTCAAGTCCCCCCCCCCTTTTTTTTTCATTCTCCCCTCTTTTTTTGGCTTGAGCAGCAACTTTCTTTTCCCCTCTCTGTCCCTTGTTTCTTCTCCCGCGCGTGACAGCAGAGGAGGCAAGACCCGCGGCGCACTCGGGCAGGAGCGGCCGAAGCGGGGCCACCGGGGGACCCAGCCAGCCACCCAGCCAGCCACCCCCGGCTGCCCAGCGAGGAACGGACAGAAGCCCCGGCACTGGTCCGAGGGTCCCAAGTGCAGGCGGCGGGTGACTTGTCCGGCCTCCCTCTCTCTCTCTCTCATGCACGGCGATCGCCCCGTACGGTGAGTTACGGTGCTGATCTCTCTGACCCTCCTTTCCTGAACTATGCTGTCGGGGTTCCCCAAAGCAGAGGGAAAGGGGGCGACGAACTTCCCAAAGAGGTGTTCTTCTCTCCCCCCCCCCCCCCGCTTCTCTCTCTTTCTCTCTCTTCCTTCCCGGGGATCGGGCAACTGGGAGTCTGCCTTCCTAGGAAAATTAAAGCTGCTCTGCAAATATTTACACCTGGGAAAGGCTAGGACTTTTTTTTTTTTCTCCCCAACCAGTTGGCCTCTTCACAATCCCATTTTCAGTCTGATGGCCGCATAAAAGAGGACCTAGTGTGGATGCCCGGCGGGTTGGAAGGGATGATCCGGCCCCGCTGGAAGAGGGCAGAGAGATCTCGAAAATTGTCAAGGTGGGAAGAGAGAGGAAACGCCAGGCACCTGCGTTGGGTTGGCCATCTCTGTATGTTATACCTGCATGTTTTAGAACGGGGGCTGCCAGCGATACTTTTATGTTTATGGAGCGCAGTCGTATACGGGATACCTTTGTAGCAAGTAGAATGATTGTGGTTTTATTGCCTTTTTCTCCACCCCTCCTCCCAGTAACCAATTAAGAGATTTTAGGTAAGGGAAAAGAGATCAAACTTAGATTCAAATAGAAACTGCGCCCTCTACCGTTCATCGGGGGGTCTTCCTCTGAGAAGACCGCCGGATTCGCAACCCCGCTACGGTTGCGAGAAGAAAATTGTGCTGGAGCGGATTTCTGAGGCTTTGTTTATAAGGGGACTTCCTAGTATAACATACTGAACAATTTTCTGTCCGTGGGAGAAACAGGCATCTTTTCTTTTGAGGCAGTGTTGCTGGAGATGCCCCTTCCTTGGTGGCATATATCTCCAACCGGTAATATTTTACTAAAGTGTCTTCCAACTCTGAACCATCAGATTAAATTCTGGTTCATATGGAAGCCTTCAGTCAGTTCTCTTTTGCTGATATGGAATAGCTTAGTTATTTTAAAGGGGGGAAAATTGGATTTAAGGAAGGGAGAGACCTCACTTGCACTTAGAGTGAAAAAGGAACTGATTCCTCAACTTTAGGATTTTTTACAAATTATAAAAAATGTTAAAAAGAAGTATGATAAGACAACATGCTTGTTAAACAAGGAATGTACTGAAAAACCTTGAGCAGAACTGAGCGGCAACTGCTGATTAATTCTGAATCCCAGTTGAGAATTTCTGTTATATGATTAAAGATTTCTGCAAAGGGGGTAGATATAAAAATATAACAAAAAAAAAAAATACCCAGGGAGGTATTTCTGCTTCGGGTCTAAAAGAACAGGAGGTTTCCTTCAACTTGTTCAATATCGGGGCAAAAACTGAGTTCACCTTGTAGAAAACTTGAATCATCAATTGATTGTGAGCTGTGAAGTAAAGTTGTAATCAACAGATAGAACTCTTTCAGTTTCTGGGTCTTCTTTCCTTACAGAGAAGGGTAGTGGCCTTAGATTGAGGAATACTTTTCTTCCTTTGCCGCTTTCTATTTTTCAAATATGTGAAAATGAACAAATAAGCAGAGCAGCTCACTAGCGGGCCAAAAAAATATAATCACCCACACAGCCCATTTATTAAATGTGTTTGGAAAAGAATATTCAGGCCACAATCGTATGCCCATTTATCCAGGAGTAAATCCCTGTGAACTCAATGAGGCTTACTTCTTAGTGAATGTATGTAGAAATATACTATTAAAGATATCTATCTATCTATCTATCTATCTAGCTATCTATCTATCTATCTATCTAGCTATCTATCTATCTATCTATCTAGCTATCTATCTATCTATCTATCTAGCTATCTATCTATCTATCTATCTAGCTATCTATCTATCTATCTATCTATATATATATATTTTTTTTTATATGTGTGTGTGTGTGTGTGTGTGTATGGGGGGGTGTATGCTTGTATATATGTATGAGCTAATTCAGTTATTTTAAAGAGAAATGCTAGTTCTGTAAAAGGTATTGCTTGAATTTGTCCAAAATATTTAGCAGCAGTTTGTAAGAGTTCAGTAGTTACACCTTGATCAATATTCCTGCCTAAATTTCACCCACAACTGTCTCAGATTAGTTATTCAAGGTATAGCAGTGTTTCAGTGAAACCAGGGCTATTCAGCTTCTCAGGCTGACTGTTCTCTGCATAACTGTATGGAAAGGACGTAGGAGATGGTCCTTTGCAGAGAATTACTCATAGGTAAGTCTGTTAATTTGAGTAGAATTTCCACACCATGCGCAGGAAGGCTGCCAGAGTTTGTGATTGCATTCGCTCAACTTTTTTTTTATAATATGCATGCACTAGTCTTTCCCCAAAAGTGATAATGTCGGTGTTATGCCAAACCATTGCAAAAGAAAGGTATTTCTGGAGGAACTACTTAAAGACAGAGGGAGGTTTTGTAGTTGAGAGGGTTATTATTGTACATTCTCTGAACAGTTAGAAATATTATTGCTTTGGAAGTAGAGCATGTGGTTCATTTTTCACACCGTTTTGGAAATAGTAACAAGGAGGTAAAAGGTGAAACATTCCTGTACTGTTTTCCATATGTAGGATGTAGGAAACAGAAACCTACAATGGTGTAAAATGGCCTTAAATTGTTTTAGGACCCTTTCATCGGACTCTTCCCTCTTAATACCAGTGAGAATGTCAATATTCTTTATACTTTCTAGAGGGGGGAATACCTGCATCATTAGTTCTTTGGGTTTTTTAAAACAAAAATTATACCTCTGCCACCAAAATCCTTTTGGGTTTTCCCCTTCTCCAAAATGGATCTTACTGCCTTTCAAACCTGAGGGCGTAAAGCATATGTCCCATGTGCTTCTAATTTTTGTTTGTTCAGGAGACTAATTTAACATTTATGAAAAGCAGTGGGTTGGCTTTCAGTGCAGGGAATTCACACTGTATCATGTTTTCGGTGTGATGCGGCAAGGTGAATAATTGCCTTTTCTTACCTCTGATCCACACCTGAAACGATAAAATATAAAAGCCTGTTATGTGCTCCTATCAGCTTGCAAAAGTGGCCGAACTAGCATTTTAATTTTTGAAAAGCAGCAGCTTGGTTTTAAATGGGGAGAGAGATCTGGTTTCTGGATGACTGGGGGTAATGCAGGCAGCACGGGGCTTATTGTTTCACATTCTGGGCTACATTTATAAGAATATTAATGGAACATTTTAAGAAAGCATAACCAAAACATTGTGAAGAGTTGAAAAATTTAAAATCTGTACGGGATACTATAACATGGCATTTCTCAAATTACTATTTATGAGCCCAGTTTATGGATGATTAGATTTTCTGTGTATCTATCTGCATTTGTGTTATCACATGAAACCAAAGGATTAAATTTTATCTGATTTTTGTGTTAGGGTGTAACAAAAGGCTGCAAACCTAAGCTTACTTCCTTGTAAGCTTAGGGTGGCACTCATTTCCAAGTAAATAAGTCTAGTCCTGGTGTTTGGGATTGTATGTTTTTAATTTATTTTAAAAATTCAGGTAGCGAAGGAGAGACGGTCCTCACCTGGAGAGTTTTCTTGATAAAAATACCCTGTCAGCTTCTTGGTGACAATTTTTTTTCTAATGAGAGGATGATCGTTGTGAGTGTGGGTGGAGAAGGTCGTCCATGCACAGCAGCCGAGCCCACTACAAGAAGCAGCGTTTGCCAGCAAATGCTAATCAGCATTGACAGTTGTCTTTAATCATAATTAATTACAGCTGGGATACACTTTGGGGGGGTCAGGTTTTGCTGAGCATAATGAACGCAACGTGTGAACCTGGATGGCAGCCATCTCTCTAGATGCCGAGGAAGGGACTGCTCCTTGGGAAGTCGTTTGGAGCACTTTGTTTAGGGCTTGATAAACAGATGTTTAAAATAGGGACTACTTCTGTCTACACTGTGTACCCAGTGCTTCACCAGTTTTGTTTCATTTTTAGAACTCTGTCAGACAACCTTGTTAGCCGTTGGTATTTTGATCTCTGACTTCTTGGTGGGCAGGGAATCCCTCTTCTCCATGACTGTAGAGGATAGGGCCCATGCAGAAATTTGAGGGTCACAATCCTTGGAGCGTGATGAATTATCACTAGTAACAAAGGACAGCTCCTGCTTGCCATGTGCTACGGCTTTACTGAATGTACTGTAGTTGGCATAATCTATTTTTCCCTCAGCGGATTGCAGTCACCTTTCCTTCTTCAGTCAGTGAAGATATCAGTTTGTGTGTATGAGATTCTGCCAATAAATTCAGTTCAGCAGAGCAGATTTCTCAATTGAATGGTAAGCAGAAGTTATAAAGTCAGAGAAGATTGCAATATTAGGAATATCTCAGTTATTGACCCTTTGTAGTGATGGATCGGATAGGAATGGAAAAAATACAGGGAAATCCTACCTCCTGTTGCTTGTATTCTTTAAAGATTTTGACCAATACCACTGCCAAAAAGTTTTTAATCTTAGGTGTGCTCTGTTGGAAACTGTATTTGACTATGATAACTTGAATCGCACTGAAATAATGGCCATTTGTGCTAAAAATCAGGTATTGAAGCAGTGGTCCTCAAGTTCTTTGGGATGTTAAAAAGTTTGCTTTGTTGTGATTTTTGATAATTAAGATCTGAGTGTTACGACACCACAACAAATCTCATGTGGGATATATGACTGTGCTCCCAAACTCTATGAACCTTATTATATGATATTTAGTCCGTATCGCCCTCTGTGTCAACCAGAGCTCATTAATCGCTCACAACCAGGGAAGCTATGCTATGTTAGCCCTTGCCAAAGCATGACATTTTTAATACATTAATAATATGTCTGAAAGGTAATGGAAAGCCATTAATCACATACTGGACAGGTGCCAAAAATTTAAGCTATAATTGGCTTCTCCTTGTCAAGCATGCCGGTCGCATGTTCTGGCATATGTCTCATACTCAAATCACCTGTGTGGCTGTCATCATTTCCCCCTCCTCAGCAGACTGAACTGGATCAATGTAGTAGTCTATAATTCAATGTAATGACCATCATCAGGGCTCTAACTTGCTTTAATAAGAATTCATTATGTAGGAGAAAGGGTGTAGCCCAGTGACTAGTGGGATAACATCCAGTTTTGGATTTGATCTCAGCCTTTTGCATTCTTGATCGTAATTTGCTTCTGTTCATTTCCTGAAGATAAGAAACATGTTGGGGATTGGAGGAGGAAGAATATCTCAGATTACATTAGACATACTGTAGCGTGCTTAAATTCATTTACTCAGGAGTAAGTTGTAGGGAAATAATAGGGCCTATTCCCACAGTCATATAAAAAAGAAAAAGAAACATGGCTGTTCATAAAAAATATTCCTTCATCACCTCATCTTGGGTAGATTTTTTGGTAACCACATATTTAATTTATTTCTCAAATTATGTAAGAAAGGGAATCATTTCCTCTGTGAAAACTCATTTTAAAATTCGTGTAGTCTTTCTGAAATGTGCCTTTTGGATGACACAGTGGAAGAACCTCCAAAATCTGGAGTATATAGAACATTGTGTCTAAATTACTGAATTAACACATAATATAATTTGAGGATAATTCAAGAAAATGAAGGATATAGAAGATGAAAAGAGAACTTGTACAAGGTGTTGTAAATTTAAGACATATATTCTAATTGTTTTTCTTAAAATTGCATCTAATTTTGTGACCAATTGAAATTTGAAGTTTGAGTGTTGTGGAAGCGCATCGCTAAAAGCGAATTTGGACTAGCCAATACGGTTTCTTATACGATGCTTTGCATGTAACAGCTGTAGGATAACCATTTTATGAAATGAATATAATAGGAAATTGCACTGCATCCATAAGGCAATTATTGTAATTTGCTATGGAAACACAACTCAACCATCTGTTGGCACTGTGTGGGATCTGCAGCTAAGTTTGGTTTCACGACTGCCTTATTTGTGTAGAAAGAACTTGTTTACAAAATTACTTTGAAGACTGGGTTCTCTCCCCTCCTCTCTTCCCCCTCCCCCCTCCTTCTATTCCCCCTCTTTCAGATAGTGAGTGTTTTGGAAAAAAGCTATAGAAATAATCAAACCAGTGCCTTCTTTCCTTATATGTGGCCCTGCAGAAAATAATTCTGTAATTAGAAGGTCAAGCTTCAAATGAGCAAATGGAAGTGAACAGCTTTTAATTTTTTACACATTTTAACTTGTCAAGAATGAAGATTTAGTTAGGTGGTGAGATATGATGGCATCATCATCATAAATATTTTGGTTAAGACATGGTTCTAGGGTTGTGCTCTTTGTCTTGAAATACTCACTGGAGTGGATCACATTCTTGTTCCCTCAGAATCCTCTTGCTTGGACTCCGTCATTAAAGAAAAATGAGTTGGCATATAGAAATGTTTTTGACTGTGTATGTTCTTAGGATTGGGGCGTAGACCAGGAATGACTAAATCCTGTATTCTCAGGGGTGACAGTAATCTCCAGACGCTGGACTGCTGAGCCAGAATACGTGGATGACCAGGTTTTGTAATAGAGTTAACACAGTCTATCATGAAGGGCTTCACAGAGGCAGAACTATTTTTATTGTTCTTTTGGATTACATTTCTCAGAATGCCACAGCCAGCATGGCCAGGAACCAGTGTGGCTGAAATGTTCTGGGATGTTTCCATTTTTGAACATCGGTATGTTCCATTCTAGACTGATAGTTCCCAACCTTAGGTCCCCATGTGTTCTTGAACTGCAAGTCCCAGAAACCTTCACCACCAGCTGTGCTAGCCAGGGTTTCTGGGAGCTGCAGTCCAAAAACATTAAGATTGGGAACCACTGCTCTAAAGCCAAGGAAGAGATGTCACAAATTGGTCTGGGTGAGGAATCGTTCCATGCCTTAGAGCTTGGTCACCTTGTCCTTATGAAGAAAACAGTGGGCAATCCTTTCATTATAGCAAAACAAAAAGGCACTAGAATACCAGGAGGCTGAGGGAGAATTCATTGCAGGAGGTTTGAAAAAGACCATAAGGGGGTCAAGTCAGGTGCCCATCCCTGGAAATGTGGCATAGGTTTATGTCCCCTTCCCCATTCCTTTCAGATGTTGCTTTTATGTTCAGCTCCAGTGAATAGAGAGGGACTTTGGGAGGATAGTTTCTGTTAGGGAAATAGGTGCATCATCATCATCATCATCACATCATCAAAATTCAGAAAGTCTAAACAGAGGGGATTTATTATAAGCTGTAAATGAGCCAACTGTTATCATTGTCATTAAACACAATTAAACAAAAGAAGCCGAGCTCTTCCAATACTAATGAGAAAAATATCCAAAGAGACAGAAGTGTGCTCATAATATCTCTCTTATTAAGCTAACAAAAGCTAAAATGTACACGAGGCATTTCGAGCTCTCCGAGGTCTTTGCAAGAGATGAAAAGCACTCAAGTTGTTGTCAGTCCTTTGTCATTGAAATAAAAGACCCACCACGTTGGGCGGGCTGGGATTTATGTCCCTGATCTGGTTATGAAATACGAGAACAGTTCTAAGTGCTTGCTCTTATATTTTGCAAATAATATTTTTGAAACAAACAAATGGAAAGGGGTGGGTGGAAGGGAGGGAAATCCCAGTACTCCCAGAGAATGTTCCATATGTCTTTGTTAGAAAGGAGTGAAATCTCTCACGTCAAAATAATTTTGGCAGTCAGTGATTCTGATGCCTGATTCATTCCCACGTAGCATCTCTGATAAAGGTTACTGAGATTATTCCAATTTACCTTATATTATATCAAGGCTTTTGAAATGTCAACATATCATATCTTTTCTAATGCATTGATCCTTAGACAATAACTCTTACTTTTATTGTTTCTAAAAGGGTGCTGGTGCCAGAAGGAAAGAATGATTGATGTCAGAGAGGCTGTAGACGCTCATCATTTTGCTCTACCAACTGATTTATCCATCTGTCTGGCTATCCCTCGTGTGGGGAAAGGGAAGGATTGCTCGGGATTACTGACAGCCCTGCTGATGACCGGAAACCCTGCTAAACTTGTCATCTGCTTGTGAACAATATTTTCATATATGCTAAAAGACCTCAGATCCACCTTTGAATGCAACAAACATCCTTCTGATTACTTTGAACAACATCTCTTCAGTATGATAGGCTTCCACCAAAGTTTTCAACTTTAAAAAAAACCACAAGAATCATTATTTTGCTCATAGGATTCTGGAACACATTTTACAATAACATCAGCCGCTTACGTGTACATAGATGTATAATATAAACTGGTTATAGTTATCAAGGCCCTGTCAAGGATTTAGAGATGTATTTGTCAAGATTCTTGTCGCTTCACACCCTTTGGGTTACTGTGTCGTCGGTGATACAGCACTATCCTTCAGTATGGGGTCACTATGATGTGTGTAAAACCCAGATTTACACAGATGAAGGAAAGTTCTGGGATTACACAGCCTGTCAACCAGAAGCCATGGATATGATGAAATATGTGAAAGTAAACCTGGATCCACCTAATATAACATGTGGAAATCCACCAGAGACCTTCTGTGGAATGGTAAGGCTGGAAGAGACCCTAAATGTCATATTATGATATAGATTTAAGAATATGATAATTCAGGATAAAAAGAGTAAATGTCCTTAGCTTCAGCATTGCAGATCAAGGCCAAAGTTTTATGCTGCAGAAAAAAGCCACATGGCATATAATATATGTCATTCAATAATGCGTGGATCTGGTTGAAATCCACGGCAAAACTTTCACTGTTTTCTTTTCATGAAAGATGTATTCTTAGTGGAGCAGTTTGGGTGGCTAATGGTCCTGCTTCAACTCTTGATTGGGTTCAAATTCCAATTTAACTTGATAGATTTAATTGTAGGGGTATGTCACATTGGCACCATTGCTATGGAAATGGCATATATAAGACAGATAGGAACGTATAGTCCTTCAGCCAGGTGACTTCTTGTATACAAAGATTAGCATCTGCAAGAGCTGAGGTTCTTAGAAAAATATCCCACCACCTCTGGCTTCCTTGCAACCGTCTTCTTCAGAGCGCCTTTCATGTTAACATTTGTTTTCATTTCTGAAGTCATTTGAGACAGGTTCCTGCAAATGCTGTTGGGGTTGTTTGTGATTTTTTTTCTCACAGCGACTGAATGAACCCAAAGTACATCTCTTAAAGTTCAAGGGTGACTGATGTTGCTCTGCTATAAGATGAATAACCCACTGATGATGAATAGCAGTGGACAAAAATGCTGGCATAATTCATGTGTGAGGTCTTACAATTTCACATCTCAAAAATTGATTTGGCTTCAGAGATGCAGTCAAAAAATTTGATAGCAATAATTCTGTTCAACTCTCAGGTGTAAGGAAAAGGGTAAGGGGAATAGATGCTTGCTGATTTTTAAAATTAAACCTTACAATTTCAAAAGTTGCTCTATACTTCAGGTGTATTTATGGAAGTAGCATATATACAACATGTATATGTTAAAAATGACATGGAGTCAAATGCATTCCATTTGAAATTTATTTGTAAGGAAGACTTTGGCGTTGTAGATAGAAATTCAAAATTGGAAGAAACAGGTAGAGTATACAACAATATATCATCAGCAACTGGATGCTAGGATCAACTTTCTTAATTACTGCCTAAATGTTGAATATGCCAGTCCTGGTTTAACTGACACATACCCACTGACAGTGGATTAGCTCAGGTACAATGGAACTTGTGCTGGTGGAATAAATAGCAAAAGCATTGCTGTTCACAGCCCTCATTCAGTGCATATGAATTGGCACGGGAGAACCTGCCAGTAGATTGAGCTTCTGATGAACATTGTAAATCTCTGATGACCTGTGCCTAGGCCACAGCATGTAGATAGGGCTTTGTGTGCATGGTTGGAGAAGTGCTAGTGTCCACTGCCTGCATATAAAACTTTTAAACATTTGAGTCTTGAGCATTTCCAGGTTGGGCTAAGAGGGTTTCTTCTTCAAAATCATGGAGACCTACTACCAGGCAGGATTTCCCTACAGGACTAACTAGACTAGTCTGACCACATATCTGTATCATTAGTCACTGCAGAGCAGAAGGTGATCGGTTTTGGGAAGATTTCAGTTTGAGTGCCTTTCAGATATTTTATATTGAGGAGGGAAGACGGACATCAAACATTTTGGAAGAAGGTTTTAAGGTTTGTGCGACCATTGGCACTCTTAATTGCTAGGATTATAGAGCTTCTGGAGAAGGTTGGGCCTTCCCAGTCAGGAGGTTGTTGCAGGCATGGAAGCCTCAAGTTTGCAAGTTTCAGGCCTTACTGGCTCAGGAGTGGGACCTGGGACACATTTTTCTTCTCGCTAGCACCACAGAGTCTTCAGCCTAAAATTCTGTGTCCAGGCCAGAGTCCTGGATGATGCTATCCTAAAAGACATATCTGATGGGGTGGAATCCTGAACAGGAAAAAATCTATTTGGAGGTGCAGATCAGTGACAGGATTTTATTACAGGCCCCATATAAGTGTATTGTTCTTACACTAGTGGCCGGCTAAGCTGGGAGTGTCTCCAAATGTTTAGTTCTGCAGTATACTATTTTGTAAGAGCAGAACTCACACTTTCCCTTTTGCTCTTGTTCAGTGACTTGCTTCTTCACCACGTTCTGTTCTGTTTTCTTTTGATTTAATTTAAAAAGCCTAAAATTAGTTTTGAAATTATAGCAAGCCTAGATTGCTACAGTGGCTGCCTAATTCTACCTCCCACCCCACTCCATGTGAAACGAAGAACGTGAGGAAGAGAACATATGCATGTTTATTAGGATGGTGTGCGAAATGAATCAAGGGGCCTCTGCTCACCATTTTTTAGTCAATCCATTCTTCCGTGCATATGCATCAAAGGAGTCACCGCATATAAATGTATCTTTGCCCTTTTGTTATCAGATTTTATGGAAATTAATTTTTTGGGGATGCAGGCTGGCTGGCAGATTCTGGGAGCTATGGACCCAAACAGTAGCTTTTGTAGACTCTGGATGACATCAAGGCTCATATTCATCCAGTGTTTTAACAAGTGTGCATGTGTAGTCAGCATGAATTCTGAACTCTGTAAGAGTGCTGGACTAGAACTGGGTCAAATCTGTGCTTGCAGGATCAGGTAATGTGAAATCCTTCAAGGTGATATTTTGACCGAAAGAATCTCTTCGGCATCCCTCCTTGGGTGCTGTAGATACAAAGTTATGCTTGAAGATTTATATATTGGTTGTTTCCCAAAAGGGGATTGCTTTGCTAGTTGTCTCCATGTGGTGTTGCTATGTTGAAATGAGTGGGAGGGTGATGGCGATATGCAGGCAGAAAGAGCAGAGTTGCTGCTTGCAGGTTGTTTGTGTTTCCTTGTAGTTCGAAATAAACAACTGTGGTTCTGAAGGTTAAAACTGCAGCTGAAAGAGAAGATTTGCTCATAAGACTTGGGTAGATCTGGCTGTCCCAGCCTAGGACAACATTGAAGTGCCTTAGAAGTGGTAACATTATCCTGGAATTGTCTGCAGCCAATTTTTTTTTCTTCTGGAAAGGTTATATATAAGGCTTGAAGGAGCCTACTGATGGAAGAAGCTGTGTACATTTGTACAATTTATGGAGCAGAAGTGCTGATGGCAGTGGAAAAGCGAGCCGTTGAGTGCCGCTATGGATTTCAGCACCAATCAAAGTTAAATTAAGAAACAAAGATTATTAAAAAGTCTTCTGTGCGTGTAATTCTGGCATAATGTTATGAGTTGGACCTCAAATGTTTTCCGTAGAGATTTTCAGCATCATTAATACAGCATGCCCTTCATTACGAGGAGGCTTGCCTTGCTGGGGCGGGGGGAGAGAGAAATTGGGGAAATAAAGGGCTCTCCGGTGTAGTTAGCAGTGCCATGATTATGTTTACTGAGATAATTAAACCATCGGATCCCATTCGTCAGACTAGTTTGCAAGGCAAAATGAAAACAGGGTTTTGTTTGGAAATGCCCTAATAATATATGCATGGATACTTCAGGTCAACAAATCAATATAGTGCTACTGCAGCAATATCAAGAACGAATCTTGTTGAGAAGGTTGCTAGCTGATATTTTATCACACAAGGGAGAATAGCCAATTCAGATTGTATACCACCCATTTTGTTTTTGAAAGCTCTTTAAAATGTAAGCCAGGCTCCCTCCCTCCCTCCTTCCTTGTTTCTGTGAAGTTGTGCTTGTTATAGCTGAGGGCTATGCATTGCTTAAGCTTTGTCTTAGCTCTGGTTGCGGCTGATTTTACTGGTCTTATATTTTGATCTTCCTCATTTAATGTTATTGTTGAAGACACAATGAGTATTTGGAGAGGCTGGCGGTGGCCGAGGTTGAACAGTTGCATGCATATTCAGGTCTGAAGTGACAAGGAGGGTAGGCTGGATCACGCCATTGTGCCGCTGATCATACAACAGAAACCCCTGACCTGCAAGATAATGCAGCATTTGCTGACCGCCTTGTTTCGGCCAGCTCTGACCGGAGCGGGGTCTGCCAAAAAAAGTGCAGCCACTAGAACAAAGTGCTGGCATTTGCACATGTGTACATTGCGTGCCTGCGCAACTCTGTCTTGGGTGCACCCTTAGTGATTTTGACCTCCCTACCCCCAATGCCTGCGTAAAAGTATGCATGCTAGTATAAATCCCCAGCTGGATGCTGGTCAAAATGACACTTTGAATAGGGCAGCTTCCCACACCTGTTATTCATGGGAGCTGCCCAGCCTCCTTTTGGTACATAGAATACTTGATACTTAAGTGATATACAAATATATCTCATATTGGATTAATCAGACACAATGAGCCCATCAAATGTGGAGAAGTTTTTGTTTTATTGAAAGCATAGGATAAAGCAAAAATAAAGAGGAAAAATACTTCTGGTGAAAAATATGAATAAAAATATGAATAAAAAACAGGCTTAGAACAATTGAGAAATTAACTACAACTAGTGTGCTTTACACACATACATACAAGGGCCTCACCATAGTAGTAGACAAGCTTCTAAACTTACACCGAGTGCAGCTTTAGCTTATGGATGGGCTAGCATCGAAGACATGACACCCATTTTAGCTTTGCACTTTGTCTCCTTGAGCCCTTTACCCTTCGTACCCTATCAGTGAATCCAAACCAAGATTCATCAGAACCTTATGGAATATTGGTGAACATTCACATTTTCATGAGAAGGTAGCTGAATGTAATCAGCAATTAAGCGGTCTGCACTCTGGCTCCATTCAATCTGGCATTGGCCAGCACTAAAAAAGATTGCAAGTGTGCATTGTGTGGGAACAGTTTTCTTTGGCTGACACCACCTCCTATTAGCTGGGCCCCAAGCCCAAGATAAAAATGGCTTGGTTGTGCATTGGTTCTGCTTTTCTTCATACATTCATTCTAGTTCCCCAGTACATGGAACATGTGAAGAAACCAAGAATTGAAAATAACCTTTCCTTCTTCATGTGATCAGCCACGCTTGGCTATACTTCCCTGCCCCTTCCCCCATCCATGACTGGCATCAGGCTGAACAAGGCTGCTTCTTTATGCCTAGGGTT